GAGCGGAGAGGGTGTGCGTGCAGCAACCACCCAGTGGGGCATTTCTCCTGGGGCCGCCTGGAAATGTGCAGCCTGCCGAGTTCTGGCTCTTTCGCCTCATCATTCAAATGAGGTCTTTACAGAGGTAAAGAGCTACAGGGAAGGTTTGAGTCTTCATGACCCCACCACACAATTGCAAGAAAGAGGATCTTCCCCCAGGAATGAAAGACCCAGCCTCCCTACTCACACCCACCTCCCCTCAAACCTGGAGCAGCCAGTGTGCCTGAAGCCCGGGGGCCCATCATGCAGGGCTTTGGGGGGCCACATGAGGGACCCTGTGTCTTATTCGAAGTGCAGTCGGATGTGTCTAAAGGGACTGTTTAGGGCGCCTGGGTGGCTCAGATGGTTAAGCGTCTGCCTTCGGCTCAGGTCATGATCCCAGGCTCCTGGGATCGAGTCCCGCATCGGGCTCCCTGCTCAGTGGGGAAGCCTGCTTCTCCCTCTGCTTCGTTCTCTCTCTCTCTGTCTCTCATGAATAAATAAATAAAATCTTTAAAAAAATAAAATAAAAAAATAAAGTGACTGTTTATTCGTTGTTTGACGGATCTGTTTTCCAGAAGCGACATGATCTATTTACAGGACGTTATTCTGGTGGTATCACTCTGCTTGCCGCGCAGAGAAGGCCCCAGAGAGAGGAGACAGTGGAAGCTGTCATAGGCGGAAGAGTGACCCCCAAGGATGTCCACACCCTGCTCCCCAGAGCCTGTGAATACGTGACTGGACAAGGCAACGGGGAATTAAGGTTGTTACTAGGCTGGCCTTTAAATGGGGAGATTGTCTTGGGCGATCCCTGTGGCTCTGTGTCAGGCTTCTGAGCTACAAAACTCTAGGATTAACAAATTGTGTTGTGTGAAGCCACTGCGGTTGTGGTAGTTTGTTACAGCAACAGTAGGAACTTCACGCCCTGCAAGGCTGGTTAGACCCTGCCAGGTTCACGTAGGAAACGACAATTTGGACTTGTGGTCGCGGTGGAGGAGAAAGTGGTAGAGAAATAGGAGAAATGTCGGGGCAGGTGGGGGACCTGGAGAGTTTTGGGTGACAGATTCCACGTGGGGCAGGGGGGGACCAAAGATTCACTAGTGACTCTCATGATTCTTGCGGCAGCACCCACGTGGCGGGAAAGACCTTTAATAGAAGGAGATGTGTGCAGGCTGAGCCTGGGTGAAGACCGGAAGTGAATGCTGGAATTATGTGTGCAGTTAAGGCGCTGAGGGGGCGCTGGGACGGGTTCGGCTTGGTCCCAGCTTGTGCGAGAGGCCAGAGAGGAGAGGTGGGGGCAGTCCATCCAGCGGGACACGATCCTCATGGTGTCCACCGGGGCCTGGAGGCATCCATCAAGCCCCACGTGTCCCCCCCACACACTTGAAAAGTACATCCCGTGGGGCGCCTGGGTGGCTCAGTCAGCGAAGCATCTGACTCTTGATTTCCATTCAGGTCATGATCTCAGGGTCGTGGGATTGAGCCCCACGTCAGGCTCCACGCACAGCGGGAAATCTGCTTCTCCCTCTCCATCTGCCTCCCACCCCCCCTGGTGTGCACTCTCTCTCTCTAATAAATGCAATCTTTTAAAAAAAATTAAAATAAAAGATAAATAACTGAACCTAAAGAAAGTTTTACTATTACTTTGTTTACATCAGTGAATACAGTTTTAAACGCACACTAACTCTGAATGCCTGCTTTTGTGTTACTTTATATAGAAGTGGGTTGGGGCCATCTTTACAATGCCAAAAATGAATTAAAACACACATGGCAAATAAAAATGCCATGCTCCCTCCCTGACTAGGGTCAAGCAAGCAGATACATACAGGCGATTTACTTTAGAATAGAAAAGGAAAAAAAAAAAAAGCCCCTCATCTAAGCTTGTGAATTCTGGTACAAACTTAAAAAAAACTTCCTGGGAGGTATATGTGGAACAATGTCCAAAGCCCACTCTGAAAGGGAAAACACTCAAATTCCAAGAAACCAGGGCAGAGAGACCTTGTTGAAGACACAGGACATTCAGTAGAGACCCTAGAAAAATCATACCTTAGGAGCAGGGCTAAACCAGCCCTAGAGTGAAGTCTATACCCAAGCTAATAAAATTTAAATGTTCTATATTATTCTATACTACATATTCTTAAATATTTCCAGATATTAGCAATGAACAACTGGAAAGTGAAATATTTTTTTAAATACCATTTGAGCGGCGGTGCCTGTTTGCTTGGTGGGTGGAGCGTATGAGTACACTATTCTGTACTCACCACTTCAACTGCAACACACATCTCTCTCAATATATGATGGTTTGAATTGTGTCTCCCCCCCTTCCAAATTCCTGACCCCCAGTACCTCAGAAAGTGACCTTATTTGGAGATAAGGTCTTTACAGAGGTAATCAAATGAAGATGAGGTCATTAAGGTGGGACCCAATCCCGTATGACTGGTGTCCTTACTCAAAGGGAAAAATCTGCACACAAACACACATAGAGGGCAGAGGATGTGAAGACTCAGGGAGAAGAGAGCCATCCACAAGCCAAGGAGAGAGGTCTGGGACAGGTCCTTCCCTCCCAGCCCTCAGAAGGAACCAACCCTGCCAACACCTTGACTTTGGGCTTCCAGCCTCCAGAAGTGTGATGATAATAACTTTCTGTTGTGTAAGCCTCCCAGGCTGTGGTACTTAGTAATGGCAGCCCCAGAAAACAAATCCACAGGCCAAGAGTCAATTTAGGATGATCTTCACTACAGGAGCTGGAAGCCAGCTGTGGGGTCAGGCCTGGAGGCAGGGCAAGTGCTAGTCAGAGAGACGGGAAGGGATGAGGGAGGGTCCCAGGGCCTAAGGGACAGGGTCCTTGGGACCAGAACTACCTCTTCATATTTATACTAACCTTAATGTTTTTGTTAATAATATATTAATAATTATACTTAATATTAACTGTCCCCAATTGAAAGTTTCTAATATATTTTTATGTAAAATTAAGAACTTTTACTAACACCATTCTGACTGAGGCATTTTCTCTATTAAAAATAAATATTCATTTATAGCTTAACTTCTAGGAATAGTACCAATTCTGAAAGTACACAAAGGGTACTTTATTTTATGTTTGGATGCTGAGAGTTGAGGGGGGTAGTGACTTGGATTGCTGGGTCCAGATGACAGTAGGCTGGGACCTGGACCCCTGAGTCAGAGGGAGGAGAGAACCAGAGGCCTGATTCCTGGGTCTGAGGGAGGAAAGGGCTGGGGGGCCCGGACTCCTGAGTCTGAGGGACGAGGGGGCTGGGGACCTGGACTCCTGGGTCTGAGGGAGGAGGGGGCTGGGAACATGGACCCACAGATTCCTGAGAGATGAGAGAACTGGGGACCAGGCATCAGGGACCCAGTATTTGAAGTGAATTTCTTACTATCTTTTCTCTTACTTTGCTCCTGGAGGAGGTGCCAAAACCACAGTGAGCACTAAAAACTGTCTGTCCTGTAAGTCTGTTCCTTCTTAAAGGGCATCAATCAAGACAGTCCCTTCGGTTATTCTAAGAACTGCCAAAGCTTCCAGAATATGCCAGCCAGACAGTGAGGACAGAATCAGCCACGCTCACTACCATCATACAGAAAGACCTCCTCCCCTGAAATCTGTAGGTTGCTGGGGCAAGGATGGGATTGGCCATGGCCCTTTTGTAAGGTGCTTCATCCTTTCCTGCCTCCTAATGATCCCAACGCACCCTGTCCTATAGCCCCAGGATGCAAAGGCATCTGACACCTAAATATTTCTCATCCCCTCCAGGAATCACAGGCCGATTCTTAGTGTTTGGAATGTTAAAACATGAAATAATTGGGGGCTACAATATAACCTAATTGTAACTCTTTTGTCTTGGGTTATTTCATCCTCGAAAACATTTTTGGTGGATTCTAAAAGGCCATGATATTCTTCCTGATCTAGCTAAATGGCTTTCTCTTATATTTGTATTAACTCTCCCTAGTTTTTTTAAAGTTCTAATTGCGGTATTTTCTCTATTAAAAATATTCATTTACGGGTGCCTGGGTGGCTCAGTTGGTTAAGCGACTGCCTTCGGCTCGGGTCAGGATCCTGGAGTCCCGGGATCGAGTCCCACATCGGGCTCCCTGCTCGGCAGGGAGTCTGCTTCTCCCTCTGACCCTCCCCCCCTCATGTGCTCTCTCTCTCATTCTTTCTCTCAAATAAATAAATAGAATCTTAAAAAAATATATATATATTCATTTACACCATAGCACTCACAGAAACAGCACCAAGTCTGAGAGTACACCAAGGACCCCTTTGCTTCATGTTACATATAGATCTGGACAGCTTACATATAAATGAAATAGAATTTTCAGCCACGAACAAGAAATCTGAATGAAAGCCATGTGTCCTCGGTGGTGGTGGCACGGCCACGTGGGTGAGCTACAGCGGCAACCTGTGCCCTCACAGTCACTGCTCATGCGCACAGTCAGGGGTGCTGGAAATGACTCTGAAGCCGGTATTTCTCTATTCAGCCTTCCAGAAGGCACGGAGGGGGCCGGGGCTGTGACGCGATCAGAGGGAGACGCCCGGGCCGGCCAGGAACCGCCGCGAGGGAAGGTGACAGGGCCAAGCTGCCTCCCAGGGATTATGGCCATCGGGCGGGTGCTGGGGCAGGGCCCAGGCTGGGAACACGGGAGGCGATTTGGGCAGGGAGAGTATTTCAGTGGAGGATAGCCAAGGCTGTGACCTCCTAGCCTGGCTGGAGAAGGAGAGACTCCACCGCCCAATGAGAGAAAGTGATCAGGGAGGCCGTTCGAGGACGCACCGCCCACCCTGCTTTGCTCGCTGGGCGCTGCAAACACAGCGACCTCCCCCCGACCCCAGCGCGCTCGCCACTCGCCATTCTGCGCATGCGTGCCTTCTTAGCCTGGCAGGAATGGGCTTCTCCAGGGCCAATGGGGTGCGGCGTTCCTTTGGGTTCATCCAATAAGCGCATCAGATGCTTTCACATTGACCAATGGGGCTTCGAGTGACCTGTTGGGTGAAGCTGGCCCCGCCTGCCGTGTCTCTGAGAGACGAAGCCGAGGCTGAGTGGAACGAGGGGGGCGTTCCAGGCCGTTCCTTCAGCACCGTGAGGTTCTTGTGAGGTTATCTGAAAGCCAGGTGGAATTTGGGTCCCTTAAAGAGAAAAGGAGGGCTGGGGACCCAGATTCCTAGGTCCTGAGGAAAGAGGACGGGTGGCGGGGCAGGACTCCTGGGTCTGAGCGGGATGGAGGCTGGGGGGCTCAGAATCCTGTGGGAAATGGCGGCTGGAACCCAAAGCCCTGGATCCCTCGGTAGAACAGGGCTGGGATCTCAGAATTCCGAGTTCTGGGGGGCCTGGGGCCTGGTGGGCCGAGAACCCCGGGGCGTGGGAGAACACAGGCTTGAACCAGGCCTCCTGAGCCTGAGGCCGAAGGGGCGTCTGGGCCACACCCGCGACCCCGAGGCCGGAGGGTACGGGTCGTTGAACTCCTCTGTCGTCGGCGAATAGGGGTTTGGGTCGGAGGGTTGCAGCTGTGGGAACTGAGGCACAGTAAACGTGCTAACGTGCTCACACTCGCAGGCTAGCCAGGGCCACCCCGACAGTGGCGGCCGCAGTCTTCTGTCGCGCCGGCTGCGCCCCGCAGTGACAGTACTTGCCAGAAGGTCGATGCAGCCTCGTTGTGTGAGGCCGAACGGCCCCCTCTTCTCTCTCAAATCGCAGATCCTTAGCCGCTCTTCCAAGCCGCTCCGAAAGGCGCCATGGGAACCCGTCGTGTGCAGGGTTTGCTGTTCCTCGTCCTCCTCGGGGCGCCCTCCTGGGCCTGTAAGAGCGGGGGGTTCCGGGGCGGAGAGCTGGTTCAGAGAGGATGCACCTCTGGGGAAGGCGGACTGGCGGCGGGGGCGGGCGGGGGGCGGCCGGGTGCTTAACCGCGATCTCATTTCCTCCCCAGTGGAGCAAAATTTGTACTGTCACAAGGGCATATCGATGAGTGTAGAAAAGGACCCAAGGAAGAGGTTTAATTGGACCACAGAGAAAGTTGAGACTTGTGACAGTGAGTCCTTGTGCCAGGAATCCCTTCTGATGATTAAAGCAGGTAAAGCGAGAAAGGGCAGCCGGGTCAGGTGGGAGGAAGGGTGAGTATGTTGTGGGCAGGGCTGTTCCCCCTCCCCTGGGGCCAGACCATAGGCCCACCATCCCCTTTCTTTCCCTCCTGTCTCCGAACAGGGGCCAAGACAGCAGTTTTGGGCACTAAGGGCTGCGTCGCAGATGGGACACAGGCGATAATGTATGTCCAGCACTCCCCACCCCCAGGCATAATCACAGTCTCGTACAGCAGCTACTGTGAGGAGTCCTTATGCAACAGCAGGCAGAACTTACTGGAGCTGTGGAAGGAGGAAGAGACCCAAGGTACGTGGGGAGGTAAGACATGGGCACTGAGAGACATCAGGTAAACCCCTGAAAAGATGGCGGGTCTTCCTTCTCTGTGTTCTTACTTGGCTCCGGCCCAGTGGGGCCATACACAAAAGAACCTCAGAGCTTTTGCCTGCCTTTTTCTAAATTGTTACCTTGGGGTCTAAACACCGCTCAGAGCACTGGGCTGTCAATGAAGGCTGAGGTGTTAAGTTGGGTTTTGGGTTGATTAAGCAATAAAGTGTCAGTGGAGGTTTCCAAGCAGGATGGTGTGGCGTAATCAGTCTGGCAGTTACTGCCTCCCTGATTTGGCCAGGCTCTATAGCAATCTGGCCCTGCCTAACTTTCCAGCTTCCTTCTCTTCCTTCCCTGTTTGTTGTGTTTCAGCTGGGGCCAGTAGTCAAAATACTTAACAATAGATATGGTACTGGCCAATCAGAATGGATGCTGGCCATAAAAAAAAACAGTCCACCCCTATCTGTGCCTACCAGCTGAATACCAACACTGCAGTGTCTCACAGTCCCAGAAATCCACCACGCTGCTCACACCTCCCAGCCTTTGTCCTTGCTGTTTACTTTGCTACCCACCCGGACTCCCATTTTCACTCAGCTAACCTCTATTCGCCCTCCACCTCAACTCAGGTGTCCACTCTGTGAAAATAGTTAGCAAATTCTTCCAGATGGTTAGATACCCCTCCATTCCTTTGCCATTATACCTTGGACACAGTGCCTCCTGAGATGTACCATAATTACTGGCATGTCCTTCTTCTAGATGGTGATCTCAGTGGCAGGAACTGTGTCCTCTTCATCTCTGTCTTCACACCTAAGCACACAGTTTGGAAGTCATGTTGGATGGGTTCTGATAGCAAAGAGAATCAGTTGGAGAGGCATGGTGAGGTTGCAGTGATAGGCCTTGATTGTGGGGGTGTAGCAGCAAAGACTTGGGGAAGAGAGGGAAGCAAGAAGAGACAAGTCCAGAGGCAGGATATACCCTAATTGCCCTCCGTTTCTCCCTCTAGCTCCCAGTATGTCACCACGCCTCCACTGCCCAACCTGTGTGGCTTTGGGGAACTGTTTGAATGCTCCTTCTCTTCCCTGTCCCAATGATACAATTCAGTGCTACCAAGGAAGACTTCACATCACTGGAGGTAAACTGAACATCTGGTGGTTTCAGAGGCTGGAAAACCAGACATCTGGGTGGACCCCAAGAGGTTCTGACTCTCGGGGTTTGGGGAATGAGGAAGGACTGATTCCTCTCTGATTTCCTAAAACATCCATGTATCTCCCCATCCTTTCTTGTTCCATAGGAGGCATCAGCTCATTTTTGGAGGTCAAAGGCTGTACATCCATAATTGGTTGCAGGCTGATGTCTGGGATCTTTACAGTAGGGCCCATGTGGGTGGAGGAAATCTGTCCATATCAGTCTCTCCCTCAACCCCGAAAGACTGAAAATGGGGCCACCTGGCGTCCTGTTTCGGTTTGGAGGTTAGAGCTAGTGCTGCTGATGTTACTGCAGTAACCTGGCCATTGTTCCTGAGGAGGTGCTTCTTGTCCTAGACCGCAGGACACCCTTCCTGACTGCTGGTCATCAACAAGTTGAGGAGCAAGTGGAGAGCTGAAGAACAGAGAGAGTTCCTGTGGATGTATTTTATATTTCTAATAAAGTTTCTGCTGTGATTGGTGTATAACCCAAGACTAGAAGTGGAATTTTAGTGCTGAAAGGGCCCTTAAGATTCATTGTCTCCAACCCACACATTTTGCAGGAAACAGAGATCTGGAAAACTTGAGTGTCTCACACTGACACAGCTACGGGCAAAGCAAGACCAGAGCTTTGATACTTGGACCTAAAGTCTGGTTTTCCTTTCACTCTAATTGGTCACTTTCTCTTGATAGCTGGGCAAGAGATCAGTATTAGCCTCCTTCAGAGCACTCTAAGCCCAACCTTAAGGCCACAGTTGGCTGTTTTGTTCTAATATTTCCCTGGGAGGTATGGCAGATTTTGAAAAATCAGACTCCAACTTCTTCTGTTAAAACAGACCCCATCTCCTATGTCCTGTCTCTTGCCCCTTTACATCATTCCTTTCCTTCTCTGCTGCTTACTTCATTCATCTTCAGTGGACATAAGAGGCAGCTGGGGCTCAGCAGGGTATGAAAACTGGGGCCTGGGACTCTTGGGGGGAAGATTTGTTTTTGGTTTCTCCTGCTTATTATGCAAGAACACATAAAACCCATCTTATCATAAAAGACTCCAATGATATAGGAGCCACATAGGAAAAAGTAAAAGGTGGGGAGAGGAAAAGGGGGAATAGACATTTATTATTTTATTTAAATAGTTTTATTGTGGTTTAACTGACATAGCCAACTGCACCAGGGGTGGAAGAAGACTTAATGAAAACTACTGACTCCTACAAAGGACAAAGGACAGGGGAGTTTGTCTATCCAAGTTCTTTCTAGAAAGTGTTCTGGTTCTAAATCAACTCTTTGAGTTAAAGACGCACTCCAGCTAATAACTTTATCTTTGTCCCTAGGCATCCAGTTTCCCATCATGTCAGTTTGCAGGAGAAAGCACAAACAAATCAAATTTGAATTTACGAGGGGGCATATAAGTTTCTGAAATAATAAGCATTCAGAACCATGGCTGGTAAATGCCATCTAGGGCAAAAACAAAAACAAGCCAACTAGATATTTCCCATAGGAGAGTGGCTTTCTGATGGCACTGAAGAGAGTTACAAGAGAAATCCCTGAGTGAATGGAAGAATGATACAATTTTCCAAAATTTGGAAATTTTGTGGATTGTTTTGGTATTTTAAAAATTATATGTATCGTATGCCAACGAACTTCAGCGGCACGGGCAAATTTCTCAGGCCGCAAACTCAAATATAATAATATATTTACAAAAATATATACATAATATATATAATATAAAAGTATTTTAATATATTGCTTATTTTTATGATACTTTGGTTGTAACAATCCCTCATCTGACCCAGTGGTAGGCAGAAACTTAACTAGTTTGAATAAGCTCAGCCACCTCAGGGCCTTCTCCCTTTCCACTCTCCTTGCCCAGGGCTTGGCTACAGGACTGGTGGGAAGGAGGTGACTGTCTCGTTTTTGCCTCTCTGCTGCTCATGTCCACATTCCTGCTGATGCCTGGTACTTGGCTTCCATTCCTGCTGGCATCCACTGGGAACCTCCAACCCTGTCTGGGCACTGATGGTCATCCACGTGGGCCCTCTCAGCTCTGCCCTTCCTCTCTCAGCTACTTCAGGGCCTCTTCCAACAGCTCTCAAGTCCCACTGCAATGCTTCAGGACTCTGTGTTGTGGAGGCATCCCATATAGCTGATGAAATTCCCCCAAGATCTGGAGAAAAGATCATTGTACAGGGAACCGCTTCCTCCCTAGGTACTAGGGAAGCGATGGGGCCTAGCCCTTGGGAGTTATCATCCACCTTACACAGACCACTATCACACATTCTTCTCAAATCTATGGTTTTGCAACAATCGTGCCATAAGGCCTTTCAAGGAACTTGAAAATTCCAGGTCTATCAAATCAAAAGTTAGGCCGCCAGAATTATTGTCTCTGTCTCACTTTACATAAGACTATTTTGAAACTTCAAGGCTGAACATTAAGATATTTCTGGCTCTTTGCATTTCTCGATAATGGCCCTACTAACTGAGGGACAAGGAGCAAAAGAAGTGGTATAAAGAATTGGAGAGTGGGGAGACAACAGTTAAAACGAAATATAATCCTGCCATACACCTATTCATTCATCTGCCTGGATTTAACCTCTGTCCTCCCCCATACTGCTCTCTCCAGGGCTCTGGTTCATGTTCTTCCCTCCGTGAAATTCCATCTCCCATTCCCACCTACCTATCCATGACAGCCCCACTAGACATCTCACTGCCAATTCTAGCAGACCTTTCCTGACTTCTCTGACACCCACGATCTCCCTCCACAGAGCCCCAGCACACTCAGCCATCTTACTTCAGTATTTTTCTGTTTCCCACACAAAGTTATCAACTCTCCTGACAAGGTAACAGCACCTCAGGCACAGGCCTTGTTTCCAACAGCTTTCCAACAGCACCCATAAGATGTGACCAGCAAACTCATGCTATGGTTTCTTCCAGAACTGCTTACTGAAGTGAACCAAATTTCCCCTAAACACATACACACTCCTCTCCAACAACTAAACTGACTACCACCAACTGCAGCCAATTACCTTAAACTTGATGTTAATGTGGAGGAAAAAAGCAGTGAGTTTCTAGAGGGTAGAGAAGAAAAGAGGCGGAAGTTTAGGAAGGACGGGCACTGAAAAAAGGTAAGAATTTGAAGATCCATCTCCCTATTTCCTTAATAGTGTTATAGTGGCCATGTGAACAAATCCTGGTTTGGGGCAGTGATGTCAGAGTAGGAGGTCAGTTTTGAGGAGGAAGCTAGGAAACTAGTTGTTTAAGTTGTTTTACTATTATTTAATGTTAACTAAAGTAATAATTTATTGGGCATTAAATCTGTTTCTTGCTCTATGTGCCGAACTTTAGGAATACAATTTATATAATCCCACTGTATGTTTCTGGTGAAGAGCTGGAGGTGACTTAAATAGCCATTACTAAGGCAATGGATAAGCAAAACGGCAGACCTATTCTTTGCATGGTCAACACTTACTAAACCACAGCACTATGTTAAAAAAAAAATTCCTTTCACAACAAAATCACTTGTAAAAGTTAATACCACAATCAAAACACGAAAGTTCATTCACCCCAAAACTCCCTCATTCTACTCCTTTGTAGCCCCATCCTCCCCTCATCCCAGTTGTAGACAACCACGGATCTGTCCTCTATCACTATACATTTGCCTGTTTGAAAATGGCATAGAAATGGAACCACACAGTACGGAACCTTGGAGACCAGCTACTTTCACTCATTATTCGTGCCTCTGAGATTCATCCATGTTGTATGTGTACTGACGGTTAATTCCTTTTTAGGGACAAATATCATTCCATTGTATGGACATACTCCAGTTTATCCATTAAGCCATTGAAGATGTTTGGGTTGTTTCTAGTTTGGGGCAGTAATGAATTAAACTGCTATAAACATTTATTGTACAGGTTTTTTGATAAACATATAATTTTATCTCCAAGATAAATACTTAGGAATAGGATTGCTGGGTCATAAGGCAAGAGTTTGTTTAACTTTACAAGAAATGGAGAAACTGTTTTTCAGAGTGCTTGTGTAATTTTTTATTACCACCAGCAATGTATGAAAATCCTAGTTTCATAAGTTTTCAGGCTATAGATACTGATATATCATTAGATTCATATTCATTTCACCTTTTTGAACTATTGTAAATAGCACTTTTAAAATTTCAGTTTTCAATTTTTCATTGCTAGTATATAGAATAAATGCAATTGATTTTTGCATGTTGACCTATATACTACAACCTTGCTAAATTCATTTATTAGTTCTAGCAGTTTTTTGTAGATTCCATGGAATTTTTGTAGATTCCATGGAATTTTTCTAAACAATCATGTCATCTGCAAATAGGGACAGTTTTATTTTTTCCTTTCCAATACGTAGGCCTTTTATTTCTTTTCTTTTTTAAGATTTTATTTATTCATCTGAGACACAGAGATACAGACAGAAAGAGAGAGCATGAGCAGGGGGAGAGGCAGACAGAGAGGGAGAAGCAGGCTCCCCGCTGAGGCAGGAGCCTGATGTTGGGCTTGATCCCAGGACCCTGGGATCATGATCTGAGCTGAAGGCAGACACTTAACCATCTGAGCCACCCAGGCGCCCCTTATTTCTTTTTCTGTTCTTATTGTACCGGTTAGGATTTCTAGTATAATGAATAAAAGTAGCGAGAATGGACATTTTGCTTTGTTCCCAATCTTAGGAAGTTTCTTTAAAAATTAAACATACACTTACCACAGGATTCAGCCTTTCCTTTCCAAAGTACTACCACTCCCCACCCAAAAAAACCAAAAGCATATGTCCATACAAAGATTTTTATACAAATGTTCATAATAGTTTTATTTATAAGAGCCCCAAACTGAAAACAACTCAAATGCTCATCAACAGAGAAAGAATAGATAATAATATATCTCTATAATGCAATACTACTCAGTAAAGAAAAAAGGAATGAACTATTGATACATATAGCAACCCTTGTCCCTCTACCTACCCCCTGTCCCTGCCTGGGCTTGCGCGCACTCGCACTCTCTCTCTTAAATAAATAAATAAATAAATAAATAAATAAATAAAATCTTAAAAAACAATAATTGCTCATGTATTTTCCTTTATTGAGATCTTTATTTCTTTTTTTTCTTTTTTTTTTTTTAAAGATTTTATTTATTTATTTGAGAGAAAGAGAATGAGAGATAGAGAGCATGAGAGGGAAGAGGGTCAGAGGGAGAAGCAGACTCCCTGCTGAGCAGGGAGCCCGATGCGGGACTCGATCCCGGGACTCCAGGATCATGACCTGAGCCGAAGGCAGTCGCTTAACCAACTGAGCCACCCAGGCGC